GGGGGGGGGGGTTCTCTTTGCCGGGGGCGGCGGGCTTAGACTGGCGGGCAAACCTGAACGGGCGGACAATCCTTCGTGGGCGTACATGTGCCCGCCATTGGAATTGGTGTTGGCCCTGCAATAAGGAGGGGGAGAACGAGGGAGAGTGGGAGGAAGGGAGGGGGAGGAACGAAGGAAAAGGGACGCCGCCAGGAGAGAAGGAGGGAAGAGGGGGGCGGTTGATTAGAGGCAGAGAGAGACAGAGAGAGAGAGAGAAAAAGACACATCAGAGAGGAAGAGAAAGAGAGAGAGAGGGGAGAGAGAGAGAGAGAGAAATAAAAAAAAAAAAAAAAAAAAAAAAAAAAAAAAAAAAAAAAAAAAAAAAAAAAAAAAAAAAAAAAAAAAAAAAAAACGGAGGAGGCAGGAGAGGCGAGGGAGGAGGGAGGAGGGAGAGGAGGGAGAGGGGATAGGGCAGAGAGGCATAAGGATGAGGGAAGAGAAGAGGGAGAGAGAAGGAAGGAGAGGAGGGAGGAGGGAGGAGGGAGAGGGAGGAGGAGCAAGAAGGTAAGAGCGTGAACGTTCGAGGAAGTCCTAGGCGAAAGCGCCGTTCCTGAAATTATGCTAACGGAGATCCCCACATAAAGAGATTAACGGTTTCGTGGGACCCATTTTCTTGATACCCTCCTCGCTCAGGCGGGGCCTCCCTGGAGGGGTGGGAGGGGCACGAAACCATGTAAATAGTATGGTTTCCGATACCCTCCTCGCTCAGGCGGGGCCTCCCTGGAGGGGTGGGAGGGGCACGAAACCATGTAAATAGTATGGTATTCCGATACCCTCCTCGCTCAGGCGGGGCCTCCCTGGAGGGGTGGGAGGGGCACGAAACCATGTAAATAGTATGGTATTCCGATACCCTCCTCGCTCAGGCGGGGCCTCCCTGGAGGGGTGGGAGGGGCACGAAACCATGTAAATAGTATGGTATTCCGATACCCTCCTCGCTCAGGCGGGGCCTCCCTGGAGGGGTGGGAGGGGCACGAAACCATGTAAATAGTATGGTATTCCGATACCCTCCTCGCTCAGGCGGGGCCTCCCTGGAGGGGTGGGAGGGGCACGAAACCATGTAAATAGTATGGTTTCCGATACCCTCCTCGCTCAGGCGGGGCCTCCCTGGAGGGGTGGGAGGGGCACGAAACCATGTAAATAGTATGGTATTCCGATACCCTCCTCGCTCAGGCGGGCCTCCCTGGAGGGGTGGGAGGGGCACGAAACCATGTAAATAGTATGGTATTCCGATACCCTCCTCGCTCAGGCGGGGCCTCCCTGCAGGGGTGGGGGTGGGGCACGAAACCATGTAAATAGTATGGTTTTCGGATACCCTCCTCGCTCAGGCGGGGCCTCCCTGGAGGGGTGGGAGGGGCACGAAACCTTGTAAATAGTATGGTATTCCGATACCCTCCTCGCTCAGGCGGGGCCTCCCTGGAGGGGTGGGAGGGGCACGAAACCATGTAAATAGTATGGTATTCCGATACCCTCCTCGCTCAGGCGGGGCCTCCCTGGAGGGGTGGGAGGGGCACGAAACCATGTAAATAGTATGGTATTCCGATACCCTCATCGCTCAGGCGGGGCCTCCCTGGAGGGGTGGGAGGGGCACGAAACCATGTAAATAGTATGGTATTCCGATACCCTCCTCGCTCAGGCGGGGCCTCCCTGGAGGGGTGGGAGGGGCACGAAACCATGTAAATAGTATGGTATGCCGATACCCTCCTCGCTCAGGCGGAGCCTCCCTGGAGGGGTGGGAGGGGCACGAAACCATGTAAATAGTATGGTATTCCGATACCCTCCTCGCTCAGGCGGGGCCTCCCTGGAGGGGTGGGGGGGGCACGAAACCATGTAAATAGTATGGTATTCCGATACCCTCCTCGCTCAGGCGGGGCCTCCCTGGAGGGGTGGGAGGGGCACGAAACCATGTAAATAGTATGGTTTGCCGATACCCTCCTCGCTCAGGCGGGGCCTCCCTGGAGGGGTGGGAGGGGCACGAAACCATGTAAATAGTATGGTATTCCGATACCCTCCTCGCTCAGGCGGGGCCTCCCTGGAGGGTTGGGAGGGGCACGAAACCATGTAAATAGTATGGTATTCCGATACCCTCCTCGCTCAGGCGGGGCCTCCCTGGAGGGGTGGGAGGGGCAGGAAACCATGAAAATAGTATGGTTTGCGGATATCCTCCTCGCTCAGGCGGGGCCTCCCAGGAGGGGTGGGAGGGGCACGAAACCATGTAAATAGTATGGTATTCCGATACCCTCCTCGCTCAGGCGGGCCTCCCTGGAGGGGTGGGAGGGGCACGAAACCAGGTAAATAGTATGGTATTCCGATACCCGCCTCGCTCAGGCGGGGCCTCCCTGGAGGGGTGGGAGGGGCACGAAACCATGTAAATAGTATGGTATTCCGATACCCTCCTCGCTCTGGCGGGGCCTCCCTGGAGGGGTGGGAGGGGCACGAAACCATGTAAATAGTATGGTATTCCGATACCCTCCTCGCTCAGGCGGGGCCTCCCTGGAGGGGGGGGAGGGGCACGAAACCAGGTAAATAGTATGGTATTCCGATACCCTCCTCGCTCAGGCGGGGCCTCCCTGGAGGGG